ATATACATATATGAATATATATATATTCATATATGTATATGTACTTACATATATATATATATATATCCGTATGTATACTGTAACCCAGTTACTGCATTGAGAATGTCACCTCGATTGGTGATGAAACGTTTGCAATACAATTGCCAAGCTCGGCGAACAACTGACCACCAAGTTTTACTACCCGAGCTACAAAAACAACAATCAACACCGTTGTTTACAAAACTGTCATATATATATATATATATACATATATCATGGATATCTAGATGTTTTAGTTATTTATTATTCAGGTGGTTCGTTCCCATCAAGTGATGACCGCGTAACGCACTAATGCTGTACACTGTGTTTGGAAGCATGGAGTATCTGATAGGAATAGCATCTCGGAGTGAGTAGACTGTCGTATCTCCTTGGGGGCATCCGCCTCTTCTCTGTGGTTTTCATTCTGCACCCAAATCTGACCGATGGCTCCACGAAGCTAAGGCATGTATCAGTGACCACATTCCGGCAAACTGCTTGACAGCCGGTTGAGGATAACCGAGGTATAAATAAATGCCTTGGCAAGACAGCTTATGACATGTGAAGATAGCTGTTCTTGAATGGGCGGACGAGATACACTACTTGAAACAACGGATATGAGGAAAACCTGTCCGGCTAACAGCGATGCATGCTTGCCGCTACCTTTACCGAATGAGCTTCTATAGGGGCACCGATAACCATGCGTTAACAGAATGCTGCCTTGCAGTCCGCATATAGCTGTGCTAAGGTTAGAGATGTGCCCTAGAAACAAAAAGTCTAGTGACGAGATCGTGTCTCTCACAAAACTCCATAGTTATCATGGAGCCGGTTTATCATCTACAAGGAGCCAAACACAGTAAAGTAAAATAGTAAGTGTACGATCTTTGTTGCGAATACGTATTCAAAGGGAAATGGGCTGAAGATAAGTCTTCATGCAATCAAAAATCTACTGAACAGTGAGTGTACAGTGCCAAGATGATCATTCCTTGAGACACTTTGGACAACTGAATGAACAACACTAAAGACATTTGTGATTCATCATTCAAATCAAGTCAGAAAATTGCTCTGTTACACTATCTGGTGCACTTTCAGCTGCCAAAGGCCACCACAAAAAATGAAGATACGTATAAATACGCTAAGTTTACGGAATTAACTCAAACCTATGGGCAAATCGTGCAAAAAAGGGCAACATAAGGAACAGTGAAAAGAGCAAAAAGCTTCTGTGTGTGCCGGAATGTGTTTGCACATGGAGTCAGTAGGAGAGATGAAAATAGATTTAGATAATACAGAGTTAAGTGAGGAGCAGAAGACAGACAGATTATTACAGCTTTTGGTGTGTTGAGAGACTATTTGACAGATGGACATGCGCCACAATGGTACACAATCACGTGATCTTCGTAGGAGTGCGATTTCAGTTCAACTTACAATTTTTAGAACAAATTGCGTAAAATCCGACCCGATATTAGTATCTAAAGGAAATTTTTTCAAATTGCTCACTTCCTGAGGTCAAATACACTCGGACAGACGGAATGAAACTGCTTGGCCCGTCCTACAAGTAAGGATTTCCTTACATTGGATACCTTATGGCGTAAACCATTGTTCGCACTTCAGTCAGACTCTCAATCAAAGGTGATCAGTCCGACTACCGGAAGGATTACAGTGATAGTACCTCCGCAGGAACGATATTACCACACCAGTAGATAGTAACAAAACCAGCAGTGCGATGAGAATGAGATGTTGCCCTACGAGTGTACGGAATGCTAGTGAGGTAGTATTATTCATTCATATTGCGGTAACTTCACTCAGGCACGTAGACTTATGAATCTACCTCGATGATAGGGATGAAGAGACCACAACAAAAAGTGGTTGCACCCAGAATGACTAGACAATTCTACAATCTATGCTACACTACTGATAAAAATCGAGTAGATAAAATGCACATGTAAACAAATATCGTGCAATACGTTTCATTGTGAACACAGCAAACGAAACGGGAACTGAAAAGTCACGGAATAACAGATAGAATAAGGACATTTGTAGCCAGTTGACTCAATTTCTCCCACTCTCTGGATTTCAAATCACAATGGTTAATTTTCTAATCGGACAAGTGCATAGCCCAGTTGCCGGGACGCATGTTTGTGCTACTCAGTCGACAAAATGATAAAAGGGCTACAAACCGTGCGCGAAAATTAAAATAATAAGTGAAGAGCGAAGGCTAAATAACCCAGGAAACGCCGTAATGTCTGCTTACTGTTGGAAAGTGTTACGTTTATTCAATAGCCAATCGAACAAATGCTGTCACATCTTTGTCTTCATTTCTCTCCAAAGTCACGGAAACTGCTTTATCGAATCAGCGCGTCTAGAACGCCATACGCTCGTTATTGACCATTAAAACGAGGTTTGCTACTACAGGTTCGATGGAGATTTACTGGAGTACACATACAGTGAAGTGAACTTCACTGATCGCTACCAAATTCATAAAGCATACAAGATAAGTGAGAATGTGTAAGGAGGACAGAGATTGGGCCTTTTTTAGGGACGGGAAGAGAAAGCGAACCTGTGTGGTCAACATACAGAGTGCGCAGTTCAACTGTGCATACATACTAGTTCAAGCATTCTGGACTGATAAGAAGTGACAGCATGATCGCCATTGCTATCGGTTCGCAGCCATGACCCTCAGTGTCTCCAACCATGCGGTTTTGGAGTCTTTTGAACCCGAACCCGGAAGACGAGATACTTACTCTACCCAATCGCTCTGCGCATTTCTTCATGTCTCTTCTCCACGTCATCCGCTGGCATCCACGTGGCTTCTCCAGCCTGTAACAGCCACTGCAAACAAGGCGCTCTGTGGTAGGCGAACGTCGGACATACGTAAAACATGTCTTAACCAACGGAGTCTATTGATCTGGATTCGATGCGATAGAGAGTTCTTGTTTGACGTATTTCCAAACACCCGACGACTTACTTCTAAGCTACTAACCCGCTCACTCCATCCAACCTGGCCAGACTACGTAAGCATCGATTGTCGAACACCGCTAAATGACGGGTGTCTTCTACCCGCAAATTCAAAGTCTCACAACCGTAAAGTAGAACTGATCGTACAGTGGCGCAGTATACGCGACTTTTCAACTTTAGTGAAACGTCACGTTGCCACCACAGGTGTTTCAGTCCTGCGTACGCTGCTCGAGCCTTGGAGATGCGGGCGGTTATCTCCTTTGATACGCTACCGTCGTTGGTCACGCAGCTACCCAAGTAAGAGAAGCAATCAACTACAGCTAATTTCTGACCGTCTAGTTTCAGAGCAGAACTCGGCGACACAGTCTTTTAGCATCACTTTGCACTTTGAAGATGCAAAGCCCATGCCGAACGAAGCGACAGAACTTGCTAATCTGCCAAGTACTCTTTGTGCATCCGCTATAGATTTGAACAAGCAAACGATGTCGTCAGAGTACTCCAAATCGCACAGTTTTTCTCCAGTTGTCCATTCAATACCTAAATTTAGGAGATGAAATAGTGTGTTCCTTAGTATTTCGTCTATGACGAAATTGGACAGGAACGGTGAAAGAGGGCGACAATAACGAACACTGCTGCTGTGTACGAAGGACTTATTCAGCTCCCCATATACACTTACGCTACTAGACGTATGCGAATAGAATGAACTCAGTATGTTCAGGTACTTCTGCGGCATTTCTTCGCGAAGGAGTGAACCCACAAGTGACTTACGATAAATTGAGTCGAAGGCTCCTTTTAGGTGAAGGAACACGACAACCGTTGGTCGACGGTGCTTATGGCGTAGCCCCAAGACTTGACGCAGAGTGAAGATTTAGTCGATACAACAGCGATCTGGTCGAAATCCTGTTTGTTGTTCGCGGATGTTTGTCTCACTAAACGGCGTCAAACGTCGAAGTTTAACGGAGGCTAGTAACTTGGTGATGATTGGGATCAAACTTATTCCACGGTGGTTTGTGCAGTCATTGCGATATCCCTTCTTAAAAATTGGAACGATCAGTGATTCGCTTCAGGATAATGGAATGCGCTCATGTGACCAGATGTTACGCATTGGATCAGTAATGGAGTCTACAAGGTCATCGCTCCCCCCATCTTGAAAAGAGTAAGAGGAAGCCCGTTCGGCCCTGCTGCTTTTCCTTTCTTCACGGTTTGGATGCAAGAACGAACTTCCGCTGCAGTAGGAGGTTCAGATGACACTGCCCACAGAGCTTCAGTTACATCGGAGGAGATGGCCTGGTCAGCGCCTGGCCAGCTGAACTATTCGTTGAAGTACCCCGCTCACTTGTCAAGCCGTTGTTCCCTATTGTGAATAGCTTGCCTACTTTTGTCGCAGATTGTGGTTCGCCGACCTCCCGTGTTGCGTATCAGTTGGAACAGTCTTCGACTATTTCCTGATGCAGCCATTTCACGAGCTATCGTTGCCTATAAGTTCTCACGGTCTTTCTTGAGGCTCCTCGTGAGTTGACGCTGTAGACGCCACCTAACCCTGCTTTGATCCCGGGTGGTTGGGATTTGCCGCTTTTCTCCATCAGTGCTACTGACTCATCAGATATCCAATGCCTCGGATGGGCTACTGCTTCAGATCCAAAAGAAACGTTTGCTGCGGAGTGCATTGCTCGGCTAATCTGATCCCATTATTCATTTACACTACCACCCCGCAGTGCGTTTAGCTCTTACCCTAGTTCTGATTCAAAACAGGCACGAACGGCTGGGTCAGATAAGCGATGATCTGCCAATCGAGTTTGGTGGGATTTTCTGCGACCAATGAGTTGGAGAGTGAACTGCATCAAAACAAACGCATGATCAGATTCAACGCTATGTGGTCGATTTGAATTAGCGTGCCAATTGAATTTGAGCGCCACAATGCTGTCCATTGAGAGCTGTGTCGGAAATTGGTGCTAGATAGGAACAGATGATGATCTGCACAGAACTGAAGAAGTCGATTGCCATTATCTGTTCGCTGGCAGGGCAACGCACAATGACCGTCTAGATAAGCTTCCGATGCGCTCAGTTTTCCAACTGGAGCGTTAAAACCACCTGAGAGAACGACTATATCGGAGCTTCGACTCAACCGAATGAGTTCGGTTTGTCATAAAACTCGTCCTTTTGTGCGTCAGAACTGCAGTTGGTCGGTGCACACGCTGAAACGATGAATAAATACGTTTTGGTGTTGCTTCCCTTCCGGACGCTGATAGACCCTTGGAGCAGCATCGCACATAAGCGGCTGTTGACGGGGATCCAATCGAGTAGTGCAACTTCGGCTGTATTATTCAGTACAATGCCCACACCAGGCTGGTCTACTGAACGGGCTTCGTCATCCACTGACGTGCAAAGGAAGAACCTCAAAGAAAACCTCGGTGGTATATGGTACTAGGATCCTGGATTCGAGTCTCCGACACGCAGCAGACATCAATCACCGAAGAGTCCACTGTACGCGCCAGGCATTATTGTTGACCTACCTGCATTAGAGTCCTCACGTTGAAGGCCTCCAGATCCAGTGGCTGACGAGGCTTCAGAATCAGCAATCTATTTTGTGGTAAACTACTTACCGGACTTTGGCGAGTGACGAACAAGTTGTCTGAGGGAATGCTACGGATCGGAAGAAGGGGTGAAGGGAGAGGATTGGGTACAGAAGATAAAGAGTTAAACAAAGGTTGGGATCTCTGAGCAGCAGCCCACTTATCACTACCCACCCCGCTCGATGCAATGGGCAGCGCGGTCCTGACTATCCTGTGCGACAACCGATGCAGTATGAAATTACTTTTATTTTGTATATGCATTGGGGTTTGGTGGACGGGTACTGCTAGGGTGTCTAGCCACTAA